TTTTGATACTTTGCAGACTTCATTTCTGGTCTAGAACTGGCACCGTTCAAGATCAGATAGTGATACTAGAAAAAAATAAATACCAACGTGCACCAGACTAGCCGGTGCGATCATGCATTTTGTGCAATTCTGCCCATCGAACGATTGCCCATTAATGATTTTCACTGCTTTGTACTTTAGTCTATGCAAAAATAGTTACCCATCGAACGATTGCCTATTAATGATTTTCACTGCTTTGTACTTTAGTCTATGCAAAAATAGTTCTAACATTGAAAAACAGTTAAAAATTTCACGCACCAGCGTATGAAAGCTGATTTCGAAACCTTGAAGGAGGACATTGGAAAACAGTTGAAAATTTCAACACCAGCGCATGAAAGCTGAATTCGAAATACTGAAGGGTGAATATCTTTCCGTGATTCCCGAGTTAACAGTTTATCCCCAAAATTTTTACTAGCTCGTAGGTAGTACCCGACAGCGCGAGAACGCTGAATTTGAATGGTCACGGTTAAGCGGGGGCAGGGGGTCATTACCCTAAAATTTCAGCCTCCTAAACTCCGTGGTTCCCGAGACATTAACTTACCCGTGAAAAACTTTCACAGGGCCGTACGTGTTACCCGCAAGTAAGAGAAGGCTGAATTTGGATGGGCAAGGTTGAGCGTGGGCAGGGAGTCATTACCCTAAAATTTCAGCCTCCTAGACTCCGTCGTTCCTGAGGTATTAACTTACCCGTAAAAAACCTTCACGGGGCTGTACGCGTTACCCGCCGGTACGGGAAAGCTGAATTTAAATTTACGGGGTCAGACGTGGGTGGGGAGTACTATGCCAAAATTTCAGCCGCCTAGCTTTTGTGGTTCCTGAGTTGAAAGTGCAAGACAAAATGTGGGACGCACACACAAACACACACACACATACACATAAACACACACACGGACAACCCCATGACAATATGCGTTTTGTAACGCTGTTGCACAGCACAAAACGCATAAAAAAATATACAGCTTCATGGACCCAAATGGCTAAATTAGCAATTTTCATATAAGCAATTGATTCTAACCACTAATATGTACGCAATTTTCATAAAAGCAATTGATTCTAACCACCAATATGTACAAATTACTTCACTTAAATTACTTAAAGTGTACTAATAGAAAAGCGTTTATTAAGTTGTTTTAGACAAATAAATTACATAAAATTAAACATTACTTATTACTTAACATCTGATTTAGGCTAATTACTAAGCATCTTCAAAAGCGGGCAGGTATGGCACAGAAGGATTGGTTTTATTACCGTGCAACAGATTGAAGGTTCGACTCCGCCAGTAGGACAGCCAATCCTTCTACGATTCGTTCAAAATTTTCGATGATAAAAGGGTCACTGCCGCGCAATGGGCGCCCTTACCTGCGTGGCCCACGTGCAGACCCGCCAAAGTTTTTTACGAGCAAGCTGCTAACTCTGGAACCAAAAAAGCTGGAAGGCTGAAAGTTTAAGGGGATGTTTCCTATCCACGTACGTACGTAGACGGGGAACACTGGAAAAATTTTTCGGAAAAATTGCCGGCTACATAAGTTAAGCAATTAGAGAGCGGAATAACAACTAATAAGATGTCGCTTCACAGTGAAAATGCAGGAACAACTTAAAAAATTCCCCCGAATTATATCCATCTCTGAGGTCCGGCTGCTACTGAGGTTGATTTTAGCTTTTGTTTTTGCTCATTTCCTTGCTCCACAACAAAAAACGTTAGAACTACAATATTTCTTCTGCCGCTCAGAAGATTCGCAGATATAAACTTCTGCCTCGCAGCCGAATTTTAACAAAAAAAACACTTCAAAACAAACCTAAATGTACTCGACAACGTGTATCCATGCTCATCATCTCCGAACAAAATCACACCGTCATCGGCTTCCACCCATGGTTCCTCCCATTTTACCGCATCTTCCATAGAACTACTTGCGCTAGCAGACCTCGATGGGCTTGCTTTTGATGAGCTGCCGCCGCTCATCATGGACACTTCGCAGCTCAACGAATGAAGACATGCGTGTTTCACCAGCTCATACACACGGTCATTCACCGCTACCTGTTAAAGCAAGAAAAAATAGGGAAAACTGGTGTTTCAGAAGCAACGGATCAGGATCCAAAAGTCGACCACTCAAATCAGGAAGGAACTATCGTCCGCTTTAAATTTGCTATTTACAATTTTTCAGCAGCAGAAACTACTCTAATTAACGGCGAAAAATGCCACGAAAAGATGCTGGACAGTGCCAAGAGCGACTGGTAACAGATGGATGAAAAGAACACGAGAATGGTGCGAACAATGATTCTATTATACGTTTTATGCTGTGTAACAGCAGTACAAAACGCATATTTTCACGGTGTGTGTGTGTGTCCGCAGCAATTTTCAACTCGGGAACCACAAAAGCTAGGAAGCTGAAAATTTAGGGTAACTTTCTCCACACACGTGTGACTTCGCAAATTTAAATTCAGCTTCCCGTACCTGCGGGTAACACGTATGGCCCCGTGAAAGTTTTTTACGGGTAAGTTAATATCTCGGGAACCACGGAGTCCAGGAGG